AGTCTCCCTTGCCCTCTAGATCTCCAGACTCTTTAAAAAATCTAATATATATATCATTGCTATTTTTAAGATGTTATTGCTACTGAAGACAGGCTTAATAAGATCCAGAAACTCTTTTTACCAACGTATTCATCTATAAACCTAGTCAGAATGATGTAAACATTGTTTTCAACTTTGAGAGACAATCTACAAACTCTGGAAGACTCATTCAGAAGAGAATAAAAATGTTAACAACCTAAATTTAATCGATTAAAATGTAGAAGAGAGATTAAGGCCATTAATATTCTCATCTTACAGTGGATCCTAGATATAGAGGTGTATCTTTTGAAGTTATAAGCAGAACTAATAAAAGAAAAAAAGTAACTTAAGACTTCCTATTTTAAAATCATAAACACATAAAATGCTTCCCCATTTTCTTCTTGGACATCATCAGAAACAACTAGGAGAAAGGAAAACAGACTCACAAATTCCCCAGTAAATGATGAAGAGTTGCCAAATACAGTGATAGTAAAGGGAAGACACCTAGAAAGTCTCTTGTGTCTACATCTCAAGTTATAAACAGTGCCAGCAGGCAACCTACTCATCTAGAACAATAGGACAGTAAGTACACTGGCAGTTGGAGCCTCTCCAGACTCATTAAGAATCATGCAAGGCAGGTTAGAAACATACAGCTATATCATCTAGAACCTAGGCGGGGCAGGGTGGAAAAGAGATTCTTGTTGGGTTATAGATTTTCTCATTGACTCCTGTCATTTTTGCTCCAGTCTTTGTTGGACAATGTGGAGGAGATAGATTAAATTGGAGGTAGCCACTTAAATTAGGTGGGAGGAAAAAAACCAATAAAACCCCTCCCCACCACTGAAGTCCACATCAATCATATTAAACTTTACTATGAACCAGGGAGAATTTCTACTGTCTTCTAGTGCTACCCTGGCTCTTCACTTACACCAGTCTGCAGACACATCTTCAAATCATAGACAAAGTCAGTAGGTAGCATATTCATTACCCAGAACAATAGGAACAGTAGGTGTGCCAGCAGTAGGGGATTACAAAGGTAATTCAATCAAAAATGACTAATGAAAAGGAATCAACTACGAATCTATAAAAATATACTATTAGGGAAAAAGGAGAAAGGTACAGGGAAAACCAAGTGTTCAGAAAGAGAATATTCAACCAGAAAAATGTTGCTATAGAGCAAATAAAATTTGATAGTTCAAATCCAAAACCTTGAGATTAAAGCAGAGATTTAAAAAGTTCAGGGAAGATAATGTCATAATATAAGAAGATGAAATGGCAGCTTGTCAGAGCTCAGGTACGAAATTGAAGGGAAAAAAAATCAAGCTATTGGTCATTGGTAGTGACATTGGAAACAGCACAGAGAACACTGAATACTTACTTCTGTAAGCATTTTAAGGATTGAGAAAAGTGAGCAAAGAAGAGTGGAGAGGAACAAAGATTTTTAAAATATTAGAAAAATTATAGATGTGGAAGACAAGTGAAATATGTAGAATCCTGTGGTGGGGGGAACAAATAGAACCTGAAAAGAATTTTATAGCTTTATTTAAAGAATGCTTTCCATTAAAAACAAAACAAAACAAAACAGATAAATCTAGCAATTGAAAGGGAATGCCTTGCCTCAGGAAAGATTGTCACAGAATGATTAACACGGAGATATATTGGACTGAAGAAGATAAAGAAACAGTCCTTTGGCATCTACACAAAAAGGCCAAAGCCTTCGTGGGGGCAGGGAAAGTGGATGTGTGGACACATCCCCTTTCCATAAATAGTCAATCTTGGAAGATAGGGGAGCAATACCGAGAAGTCTCTAGGGAAAGTTACCATAGCTGACTCAACCTCTTGGAAAGTCTAAAAATAAAAGGATGGCAAAACATGCCAAGAAAATGGAAATTGAAAGAAAGCAGGAAGCAGGTGAAATTTAAGGCAAAAATAGGCCAAAAAGCAGCACTTTACAATGGTTATGGGTAACATTCTCAGTAGCTCTCAAACATATGAAAGGATGTCCCACTTTAGTCATATTACAAGAAATGAAAATTAAAACTGCAACAGAATTTCATTTTATCTATTAATTTGGAAACAAGCGAACAACTAAAAATTTCCATAAGACACTCTTACAGAGAATGGGGGTTTAATTTGTAAAATCTCTTAACAGTGGTTGGTTTGACCATTTCCATCCAAATGTAAATGCGCATACCTCTTAACGCAGAAATTCTACTTCTGGGATCTTTTTCCTGTGGATTTACTTGCACATTTTGAATGACTTGTGCTCAGGGATTTTCCATATTCATAACTCCCCTCTTTGACAGTGAAAAAAAAAAAACAACCCTCGCTCTCATCATGGAATCACTGCTGTAATCAGTCCCTCTGTATGTGCCACAGCCCCTCCAGCCACCACCCCTGAGGCTTTGACCCTTTGTACCAGGCTTCCACTGCTGTCACCCCTTGCAGAGATGCCCTCCTCCAGCTCTCCAACACTGCACACCAGGCTGCCACTGTCACCCACGGCATGGAATCCTCCACCCCTCATATGCTCGGACACCCCATGCCAGTCTACCGTAGCAGATGCCTGCCCCATCCCGTCTAGGTTCTAACACCCGGCACGGAGCCACCCTGACGTACAGAGGCTGGCTTACCCTGCTTGGACTCTGACATCCTGTTCCAGTCAACGTTGCCACTGCCATCACCAGAACCTCATGCCACCCACATCAGAAACCATCCTCACTCCACTCGGGCTGCAACGTCATGCACCAGGCCGCCCAGGCTCCCCCTGCCTCCACACGTGGACACCTGCTTCACTCAGCCCCACCTAATGGCTTTTCGATTAAATCATTCTGTAGAGAGGGAAGAGAAAAGAAGTAGAAAAAGCAGAAGAGAAAAACAAGAGCTTGGTTTTTACTGTTCATCTGTCAATTTAATTTTATACTATGTGCTGGTATTACCTGTTTGAAAAGCAAATGAACTTTATTAGTAATTGTAACTGAAACATTAAAGGGAATGGGCATAGTAGTGTGAATGAACAATTTTTCCTCATTCAGAGCAGAGAATTGTGAATTTTGTCTGAAGTTGATAAATAAAGAAACAGAACCAAATGCATTATTTAGATCTTGGAGGTAACCACTAGAACTAAAATGAGAAATTGCCATAAAAGGTTGTCTTGGAGGATGGTGGGCATAGCAGGAAGGAGTAGGGAGAGGAAGAGCAGATGATTCTTTTCTGTGTAAGCCCTTCTATACCTTCTGATTTGTTTCCATAACTATATATTAATTTGATTGTATTCCTTTTGTAGGTCTGCCTTTTCATTCTTACTTTGAAAAATTCTCTTCACTTGAGATCAGATATTCACTTAAATCTTCATTTAGTGCTATTATGTTTTATTTTTTTCCTACTTTACCAAAATCTGTCTTTATTTTAAAGTGAACAAATCATTAGAGTACTCTCCAAAACTTAATGAATGATGGCTGTAACTTGCTCAACTTGCTTATTTTCAATTAGGCAAATGCCAGCTAGTAGTACCATTCACCATGATTGTGTGTCAGAAAGAATCATCTTCATATGTAAATGTCATTTTAGAGACTGCATATTGTAATGCTTTTAGTAAACCGGTATTTTCAGTAAACTTTTCTGAGCAGCAAGGAAAAAGAATTTTTTCAGAAATCTTAGCATTGGGTATAAATGTTGGCAGTAAACATAATAAATACCATGCAATTTCTCAAGTGGAAAGGATTTCCCCTTTATGAATTCCCTTCCTAAAGATATTCAAATACCCCAAGTGGAGATTGAGTCTCAGTCCTTTAATCTCCCAAGCTTATAGGTGGCCATCCCGAGGGGTGTCAGGTCATGCACAAAAGGGGGTGGGGTGAGAGGCAAGAAGGCAAAAATAATAACTATTGATCCCAGGAGCACATCCTTCAGATTTGCTGCTGGCATCAGCGTCACTTATGAGTCTGGGTCTTCTTTGGCACTGCAGGCTGCTTAGGCTGCTCCAGTGGTTATAAATAGTGAGAGTGTCCCCACTGGTGGCTGTGGTTTTGGCTGGGATCAGGTTACACTGTTCTCAGTCTGAACTGCATTTAACAGTTTGTCGATCATCTTCTTGGTGATGCTTTTTGGCCACATGCCAGTTGTACATTTCTTTAGTGTCAGGATAGTAGCAATAAATTGGTAGCCAGTATCACAAAACAGTATAATGTAATGATCAGTGTCACACTTCTCTACTCTTCTAATACTGAATTCTTATGAGGTTCATTCACTTTTCCAGCCAGGCAGTAATGGGATAGAACATTATAAATAATTGGCTTGTTTGATTTGCTGCTGGGCTCCTTAAAGAGCTTGGGACCTGTGTACTAGACCACCAAAGTGAGGGAAGATGCTACAGATGACATTTTCCAGTTTCTGCCCATGCTCCTCCCAGAGTTGTGGCTTTATACAGGCCAGGCTTCCAATGACTCATCTCCTGAGAAGGCATGACCCCCAAATGAACACCAAGGATGGGCTAGAGCCCAACTAGGCCCGCTCAAGTTATCAGTGGTTGAAGAGCACTTGGTTCCCAAATCACTACGTGATTTTCCTGATCCATTGACTTTGGTATATTTTTTATATTTAAATATTTACTTCATCTTGAATTTATTTAATATGTAATGAGATTATTTCATTTATTTACAGAAAGATAGTACACTGGATGCTGCTGAAGAAATCATTAAGGCATGGACTAGACAGAAGTCTTGATACAAGTGGACTGTTTCTATTAGATGACCTAATATAGAATTATTATTTAATGCTGCCATCTGCTGGATTTTGAAAACAAGTATTTTGGTACCAATGAAATTTGAAGAAATATTTCCATTGTTTTCCAAAATGTTAATCCCACTGGGGTTTTTTTGTTTTGTTGTTTTTCAGTTGAAATATATGAAAACACCTACCACTACCATTTTACATCAGGCAGTGTATCATTGTGGATAAGAATTGTGAGATCCTGGTTTATGCTTAACCTCTCAGTGCTTCAGTTCCCTCATCGGAAATAAAATATAGCACCTACTTTACGACACCTGGCTGGCTCAGTGAGTAGAGCATGCAACTCTTGATCTTGGAGTCATGAATTCAAGCCCCACGTTGGGCATGGAACCTACTTTAAAAAAATAGCATCTACTTTAGATAAAGTTTATAAGGATAAAATGGATTGATAAAGCCTTAATAAACACTCAGCTAGGGTTAGCCAGTTCTATTTCTCCACCATTGTGTAAAACTCTTAGCCAGTTACACCCCTTCAACTCCAAGTCCTTGCTTTGTCTACCCACATGTAATTCCCTCCCCTTCGTTTACCAATGGCTTTGAACTTTGCTCACAGTTTTGCTTCTCTGTCCCAAATACTGCCATCACCCAGAGTGGCTTCAAGGTCCACATGGATTACCTAGGCTTTCAGTACTTTGACCTCACCTTTGGCAATGTTCACCTCCACTCCACTCTCCACTAAAGCCACCCACCCCCCTTGGGTACACCCTGAACCTTTCATCATTTAAGGCTGTGCCACCTATGAGATAATAAATTAGTCATCTCACACTGTACCCACCTATCCTTATAGTATTCTCCCGGTGTGTCTCATCTGCTCTCAAAATATCACTTCTTTAAACTCACTATAATTTCAAATACACTATTTCTCAAAAAAATGGTCTATGGCCCTCTTACAGCAGAAACAGAATCAATCTATGAGAATAGATTCTGGTCTTCACCCTGGACCTGCTGAAAATAATTTCAGGATCTGGCTCTTCCAAGGTGATTTTTACACCAACTGAATTTTGATAATCACATGGAACCTTCTATTTTATTTCCATTGGTCCCCTTATATTTTACCTACCCAGCTTTGATTGCATCATCTATCACTTAGCCAAGATACTTTTGCTACCCTGAATAATTTGCCCATTGTTCTGTCTCACCTAATTGGTCAAAAAAAACCCAAAACTCCACCCTGGGATTAAAATGCCATGCTTATACTGGGCCGCTGAGCACGGCTGCCACAAAATACACAATTGTGCAGATACCAACAACCATGAATGCATGTCATTAACCTTAACTAGGTTTAATCCTTCCATGATATCCTCAGAGATTTCTCTACCTTTTACCACAGCAGCGATTCTTAATACTCTCCTGTTCACCATAAAAATATCCAACCTCCTGGGGAGATGAACCATGAGAGACTATGGACTCTGAGAAACAAACTGAGGGTTCTAGAGGGGAGAGGGGTGGGGGGATGGGTTAGCCTGGTGATGAGTATTAAAGAGGGCACGTATTGAATGGAACACTGGGTGTTATACGCAAACAATGAATCATGGAACACTACATCAAAAACTAATGATGTGGGGCGCCTGGGTGGCTCAGTTGGTTAAGCGACTGCCTTCGGCTCAGGTCATGATCCTGGAGTCCTTGGATCGAGTCCCGCATCGGGCTCCCTGCTCCTCAGGGAGCCTGCTTCTCCCTCTGACCCTCCCCCCTCTCATGTGCTCTCTCTCTCTCATTCTCTCTGTCTCAAATAAATAAAATAAAATCTTAAAAAAAAAAAAAACTAATGATGTAATGTATGGTGACTAACATAACATAATAAAATAAATTGAAAAAAAAATATCCAACCTCCTTTCTCTCTACACCTCAAAGCCCACCATGACCAGCATAATTAAATCACAGCTAATGACCTCATCTCCCACTTCTATGAAAAACAAAATGTAAAAGCAGATGCAACCAGACCAGCACTGCCAACTGAGATCCTACCAAAAGGCCTATGACCTATCTGCACCAGCATTCATCCTTAATTCATTTCATCCAGGGTTGTGGGGCAGAGTGGGAAGGATTGGTAGGAAGGCAGAACCAGGTCCAGTCATGCAGAAGGAAACTCAGGACCTAAGAGCCAACTACTGCATAGCAGTAGAAATCCCATGTATAATTTTTAGCCTGTCCACTCCTGCTGGGGACTTGATACAGTTTTTACCAGGCTTTAAATCTGCTCTTTGCAGTCCTAGACTTGTCCGGTGCTAATCCTACCACCATTTCTTCTCACATTCTCACTTGGTTTAGTCCATTCTCTTGTATCTTCAGCCTCTACTGGCTCCCTTCCTCAGCAGTGAGACATGTCCAAATTTCCTCATATTAGAAAATCCTTTCCTTAATGCTATCTACTACTCTATTATTTCTTCCTCTCTAGGGCAAAATTTCTTCCTTCTTTCCTCCTTCCCTCCCTCCCCTCTTCCTTCCTTTGTTCCTTCCTTTAATGAATATTCATTGAACTCATACGCTGTGCCAGACACTATTGTGAGTCTGTTTCTTGGTTTGTCTCTCTCCCTCTCTTTCCCCTTTCTCATTTGTTTTGTTTCTTAAATTCTGCATATGAGTGAAATCATATGGTATTTGTCTTTCTCTGACTTATTTTGCTTAGCAGTATACTCTGGCTCATCCATGTCATTGCAAATGACAAGATTTCATTCTTTTTTTATGGCTGAGTCATATTCCATCTTCTTTATTCAATCACCTATCAGTGGACACTTGGGCTGCTTCCATAGTTTGGCTATTGTAAATAATGCTGCAGTAAACATATCTAATAAACATATATCCTTTCAGATTAGCGTTTTTGTATTCTTTGGGTAAATGCCCAGTAGTGTGGTTACTGGGTGATAGGGTAGTTCTATTTTTAATTTTTTTGAGAAACCTCCATACTATTTTCCAAAGTGGCTGCACCAGTCTGCATTCCCACCAACAGTGCACAAGCGTTCCTTTTTCTCCACTGACACTTGTTGTGTTTTTTATTTTAGCCATTCTGACGGGTATGAGGTGGTATCTCATTGTGGTTTTGATTTGCATTTCCCTGAGATGAGTGATATCGAGCATCTTTTCATGTGTTTGTTGGCCATCTGGATGTCTTCTTTGGAGAAATGTCTGTTCATGTATTTTGCCCATTTTTTAATTGAATTATTCATTTTTGGGGTGTTGAGTTGTATCAGTTTGTTACTGTTTGGATGCTAACCCTTTATCAGATATGTTATTTGCAAATATCTTCTCCCATTCAGCAGGTTGTCTTTTAGTTTAGTTGATTGTTTCCTTTGTTGTGCAGAAGCTTTTTATTTTGGTGTAATCCCAGTAGTTTATTTTTGCTTTTGCTTCCTTTGTCTCAGGAGACCTGCCTCAAAAAATGTTGCTATGGCCCATATCAGAGAAATTACTGCCTGTGCTCTCTTCTAGGGTTTTTATGGTTTCAGGTCTCACATTGAGGTCTTTAATCCAATTTGAGTTTATTTTTATGTATGGTGTGGAAAGTGGTCCAGTTTCATTCTTTTGCATATAGGTGTCCAGTTTTCCCAGCACCATTTGTTGAAGAGACTTTCTTTTTCCCATTGCATATTCTTGCCTCTCTTGTTGAAGATTAATTGACCATATAATCATGGATTTGTTTCTGGGCTTTCTATCCTGTTCCATAGATCTGTGTGTCTGTTTTTGTGCCAGTACCATAATGTTTTGATTACTATAGATTTATAGTATAACTTGAAATATGAAATTATGATACCTCCAATTTTGTTTTCCTTTTTCAAGATTGTTTTGGCTATTTGGAGTCTTTTGTGGTTCCATACAAATTTTAGAATTATTTGTTCTAGTACTGTGAAAAATGTTGTTGGTATTTCGATACAGATTGCATTAAATCTTTAGATTGCTTTGGGCAGTATGGACAATTTCTTCTTCTTCCAATCCATGAGCATGGACTATCTTTCCATTTGTTTGTATCATCTTCAGTTTCTTTCATCAGTGTTTTATAGTTTTCAGAGTACAGGTCTTTCTCCTCCTTGTTTAATTTTATTCCTAGATTTTTTATCCTTTTTGGTGCAGTTGCAAATGGGATTGCTTTCTTAATTTCTCTTTCTGTTGCTTCATTAGTAGTGTATAGAAATGCAACAGATTTCTGTGCATTGACTTTGTATCCTGTGATCTTACTGAATGTTAAACTTACACATGGAAATTGTATGAAGAAAAGAAGTAGAGCAGGATAGAGGAGAATGAAAGTGTTAGGGAAGAAATTTGGAATGTTAAACACTTGGTCAGGTAGGTCTCATGGAGGGGGCATGGAGGCAGACTTAGAGCAGAGGAGGGAGGGAGCCTTGTGGAGATCTTGAGGAGGAACATTCTAGCCAGAAGGAATATCCAGTGCAAAGATTCTGTGAAGGAGGGTGTACTCAGCATGTTTAATGTGTACCAAGAGTCTGGTATGGCTGGATGTAATAACCAAGGCACAAAGTAGCAAGTGTGAGGTCAAAAAAGTAACACAGTGTAAGGATAGTGTTAGGATAATGGCTTAATCCAGAGAACCAGGGTGCTACTTTATACTTAATTTTTAACATGTTTATCATTAAATTAATGTTTATTGCAGCATTGTTTGTAATTATGCCAAACTGAGAACAACCAAAGTGTTCATCAACAGTCAATATTTGGGGGATATATTAATAAAATGGAATAGCATGCAGCAATGAAAATTCACAACCTACAGCTGAACACATGAATGAATTTCATCAACACTGTTTTCATAGGGTTTCTTCACGGGATCTTCAAAGAATAAGCTGGAGTTCTCAGTAGACAGAGTGTTCTATAATACTAGAATCTGGTACTATGATCATTGAAGCCTCAAATGCCTGCCCCAACATTTGGGGTTCTACAATTTCTGTGGCCCCTGGAGGGCTTCCATGTTTTGGTCCAATAGTCAGGCCTAGGATTGGTCCATAGCAAACTCCTTGTCTCAGTGAACCAAGGGATAGAGGTTACCATCCTTTCCACTTGGCTGGGATGAGGAGATTGGCTTGGGGAGGAGGGAGGCATGGATTTTAAACATGGGGTTTGTGCGTGAATACTGCAGTATTGGACCAAGGAAAATTTTAAAGTCTGGCCTAACTTCTCCAGGAATTTAGAAACCAAGGCCAGACCTGAGGCTTCCAGATGTGTAATTAGATATCCAGGTCTAACTGTGGTTAGAGACACACTGCTGCAGTGTGAAACCCAAAAGGGGTTGGACAGAAGGGTCTGCAAGGACCTAAGA